CATACACAGCGCGTGTGTGTGTATGTGTGTGGCTGATGAGAACTTGTATGTGAACGCATGTGCATGCATTAACGCGTCGGTGCCTTTTCCAAAGCAAAAACTTGCTTACATGTCCTGATGGGTAGGAGCAAGCCCAGTGAGCCACGCAATGACGTCTTTCCGTTTCCTGACCTCATTTTCAGTTGACGATCGTCACCGGTTGAGCAATCAAGGAAGGCGGCCATCCTGGTGTGTGAGAGAAACTTGGCATCGACCTTGTGGGAAGTTCGTGTGAACACAGACTTCGGCAAGTGGTCATTTCTTTTACAATATCGACTTATTATTTACATGTTTTCCCACCTAAAAAAAAAAAAATGCTTGCCGTGACCGCAGAGGTCAAGTCATTCGGTGAGGCGGAGGGAATGCGAGTTTCAATCAGAGAGAACGATAAACCAGAATTCCAACTCACTCAACAGCGAAAATGAGTGCAAAAACTACTACTACTAATAATAATAATAATAATAATAATAATCTGACGTTGGTAATTTTTTTAAATGTTAGTTTCACTTTGAAAGATAAAGCTTTTCGTGTAAATTAGGTTTCTGTGAAATTATATTTACAGATACTCTATCCCTGATATTAAGCACCTTCACCCATGAATATAGCATACCTTAAAACTATATTTTATCATATATATATATATATATATATATATATATATATATATATATATATATATATATATAGTTACGAAGAACTTGGTAAACCGAATGGGTAATTCAAGGAGGATGAAATCCTGAGAGCTTAATTTGAATACAGAGCTAATATTTAATGAAGAAACAGACCCTTTAAGGTACCATTACAATAATTTATTTCACCAAAATCCTTTTGAAGTACTCGGATCATCAGGAGTCCTTCAAAAGGATTTTGGTGAAATAAATTATTGTAATGGTAATTTTAAAGGTCTGTTTCTTCATTAATATATATATATATATATATATATATATATATATATATATATATATATATATATGTGTGTGTGTGTGTGTGTGTGCGTGTGTGTGTGTATATACTATATATATAATAATATAATATATATATAAATATAATATAGTAATATATATGTGCTTAAAAATAATATCTACACTCTTTGAATCGTTATAACATTCAATTTATGTATTTTGACCTGTAAATAAGATTAATGCAAGAGGAAGAATACGCATTTAAAGTTCTGTTTCATTGTGTTCAAATTCTAAGGAAAGTAGTCATGTCTATTTTATAATAAACGTATATGTGTTCAAACAACTCCGTCAAATAACGTGGGTATTAAATAGAGATTTGTAAACATTCTAGATTGATCTCACAGAAGCATAAGACCACGTCAACAGAGTTTTCCTTTCCTCTTTCATGAAAAACCATTTTCCTTGTTCTGATTCGACTGACTTCGTTAATCTGATAGAGGAACCCTCTTGATTCACAAAGATTTATATTTCTGGTGAAGACCATAAAATCAAGTTCTGGTTTTGACGATAAACAATAACCGGCAGTAAGGTTTCTGATCGGGAGATTAGAGGCTTTGAAGAGCATGGAACCACATCTTAACTGCAGTTGTTTCTAGAATTACCGTGAACTGGGGTGGTAGCACCTGTTAGGGTCGCAGCTATGGGCAAATAGTACCCCCCCAAACAAACAAATAGAAAAAACCCTATAAAAGTATAAAAATACATCTTTATAGTAAAAATATCCGCAATATATTTTTATATATAAAATAATTACCAACAATAAATACAGTGTAACCCGGATATAAGAGACCCGGATATAAGAGAGACCCGGATATAAGAGAGATTTTCTCTAGTCCCATATTAGAGCCCATACTTACCTAAACAAAATAGATCAAACCCAGATATAAGAGAAACCCGGATATAAGAGAAACCCGGATATAAGATACTTCTTCTCCGGTCCCGACAACTCTCTTATATCCGGGTTACACTGTATTTATAGAAAAATTACCGACAATACATCAATCAACATGAACTCTTTCATGGTATTAATCCATATAATATCTCACAATTTCTTAAAGAAATTAAGCTGTATTGCAAAATATAATTTAAAATAAAACACACATATCACCTCTAGTAATCATGTTTACACAAACATCTATATGCATAAAAGATGAGTATTATCTAACATATATTCAAAGTAGTCTGTCTATATTTCTGAGATGCGATATTATGTACATTATTTACATTATTCGGACTATTGTCCTCATCTTTGTCGCCATATTTATCACAACGTTTCAGACGTTGGACGCTCCGGCCTTCTTCAGGTGGTTGGAATGTCACTGGGGTAGACTGTTCTAGTTCCACGTGAAATGTTTGATGGATGTCAGTTATTAGTTATCTCCTGTTAATTTTCCTCTGAAAGTTCTCCACTGCCTTAACTGGGTATTGAACTCACACTCTTTGGACACATGGCACAGTGGATAAAGGCGTTGGTTAAATCCATTGACAAGACCCAAAAAGTGTGAGTTCAATACCCGGTTAAGGCAGTGGAGAACTTTCAGAGGGGAAATTAAAAGGAGATAACTGATATCTGACATCCATTAGACATGGCACATGTAACTAGAACAGTCTACCCCAGTGAGCGAAATAAAGGGTTCAGTTCGAAATTCCAACCATCTGAAGAAGGCCGGACCGTACAACGGCCGAAACGTTGTGATAAATATGGCGACAAAGATGAGGACAATAGTCCGAATAATGTAAATAATGTATATTCAAAGTAGAATTACATATACTTTATTTTATTACCTCCAAGCTCCAAAGAAAATTGAATTTCGGCATTAAATAACCCATAAGGAGTCTATATGCTGTTAAACAAATACATCTATCAACCAAGACCCTAAAATAGAATCCTTTCATACCTCGTCTGTAGAACGACAAGGAAAAAATACGAACCCCCGACCTGTCTAATTTACTCTTATTCTCTCTGTGTTTGTACAAGTAAAGATGAGAAGAAATGGAAGGTAGGGCTATCAAACATTCGGTGCCACATCCCAAACAAATCTACTAATAGAAAACATCTCTCTTGTTTTCTCTCCAGAGGCCAGTGTATTGAAAATGATGGTGAGAAGCTATGATGTCGACATAGCTATCGTATTTGAGATAAGAATAATCTTGAAGAAAAAAATAAATCGATATTCCTTGCCAGGTGTTTGAAGAAGTCCGAATTAACATAAACCTTTCCAAAAGATAAACCTTTTTTTAATCATTTAACCCCAAGCAAGGCAATAAAGCCACTAAGACACATACGGTTACTGAGTGTGAAAGAATATGAGAATTATTAAGGAGCAGGAACAATAAAAGAACAGGAATTAAGAAGACAGAAGATAAAGATTGATTTTGCATTTAAAACTTTGAAGATCAAACTTGACTGCAAAGCAAGAAACCGAAAGAGAGTTCCACAAGCGAGAAGTGCAAGAGAAGAAACTATCAGCATAGAACTTACGGTTCCATCTAGCCAATCCAACTGTAAAAGGATGACATCTTGAGCTTAAATTCATAAAGTCTATGTATCATAGAGGAAAGTTAATTATGACAAGGAATATATGTAGAAAAGACATGGACGCTACATTGGAAAAGTGTCTGCAACCTTAATTGCAGGTCAGGGCCAATGACATTGCTGATTCTTCTTTGGATTTTATCAAGGATTTTTAAATATATAGCAGGAGCACCAAACCATATGTGACAGCAATATTCAAAGCATGGACGAATCAGGCGAGAAGAATTCTCTAGCACGAGAGTGAGCCAAATCTCCTTGCAGCAGACCAAGCAATTGATTCAATATAAATCTTTCTAATTTATGCCAGCAGAAAACGTTAGGTCTGGAATGAAAGCCGTGATGGCACATAGCCGAAATCCATCTTTAAAATTCAGAAAGGTGGAATTAATTAATACGAAATACATCAAATAACTCGATGTATTGAACAAGTTTTAACAAATTTAGTATAGGAAAATGAATACAGATTGCGCTGAGGTTATTTTTATCCAACACTCTAAGATACTTACAAGACAAAAAATAGGAAGCTGAGACCTAAGAGTCATATTCTTAAACAGCTTCGTCCGCTCTCGACTCTTATATGGATGTCATGCGTGGCCTGCAACTCTTTAAAAAAATGTCTAAACTACCAGCTATATAGAACGGCTTTCTCTGATTAACAATTAAAATGGCTTCATGTAAATGACTACTGTGGCCCTTAAAGAAGACATTCCATCATCACACGCTACAGACTGGCGCTACAAAACCGAAAAAATCTTTACCAAATAACCTCGTCATTTGAAAAATTCCAACGGCAACAACAACAAAAGGTGGGCTGTAAAAGTCAGAAGATATTTTAAGTCTGTAAGTATATTTTGAATCGTCCTGGGTAAGAAGATAAACTACATCCGCGTCCTGGGTAAGACGATAAACTACGTCCAACAGCAAGGCCTCTGATCAGAAGATTTTTAGGAGCGTGGAACCACCTCTTAATTGCTGGTGCTCCCAGGTCCATCCTGATCCGGGGTGGTAGCACCTGTTAGGGGCCCGGCTATGAGCAAACAGTTGACACCCAAACTGGGGTCAAAACACTATGAAAATGTAAAAAAAAGGTTTTAATACATACCAGAAATACTTTGTAAAAAAAAATTACAAGCAATACATTTTTAGAAAAAGATATTAGCAACTATAGTTTATTTTGAAAGAAAATATTACCAGCAATAAAAATCTTGTCGGCATCAAATAACCCATTGAGGTTGATATACCGTAAAACAAACATATTTTGGAGATAATAATGATTTACTTATACAAGTCTTACTGATTAACCCAGAGCATCGGGGGAGAGGTGGATTCATACCTATCATAAGGGTATTTGCACGTAAGTGATTTTAACGGACCCTACTGAAATCGAAATACGGGTTCTCCGATTTGAAATCCTGATTACGCTATCTATAACACCACTCACACACACACACACACAAGCTTAGAGCGCCTGATATACCCAAGCGGTCACCCATCTAGGTACTGACCAGTCTCGACGTTGCTTAACTTCGGTGATCATACGAGAACTGATGATTCAACGTCATATGACCCTAAGCCTGCAGGTGTTTAAATATATTTTTCTAATTATTAATATGTAGTAATTACTAGGGGATCAATTTGTCACTGAATAACTATAGAAAACTTACCCCCCCACTTCATATCCAGTAGGAACTTATAATGATATTAGTTTATACAGTCTGCCAAAATTGTCAGCAGATTTTGTTTCAACACACGAGACTAATATATTTTTATTTTATTATATCAATATTTAGTAATTACTGCGGTATTAGTTTATTACTTAACAACAATAGAAAATCTATCTCCACTTCATGCCCAATAGAATCGTATAATGTCAAAAATGCCAGCATATTTAAAGTCCTTAATATTAATAAACTGATTTCACGCGTGAGTCTTGAAATATATTTTCTATTTATTATAGTAATATTGATTAATTACTCGGGTGACCAGTTTATTACTTAACAACAACAGAAAACTGATCCCCGATTTCATACCTGCTAGACTCTTATAATGATAACAATTTACTCACGCTGTCAGAAAATGTCAACATTTTTAAGTATTTTTTATTAGATTGATTTCACACGAGTCTTGAAATATAATATTTCCATTTTTTATACCAATATGTAACAATTACTAGATCAGTTTATTACTTAACAACAACAGAAAACTGATCCCCGATTTCATGCCTGCTAGACTCTTATAATGATAACAATTTACTTACGCTGTCAGAAAATGTCAACATTTTTAAGTGTTTTTTTTTTATTAGATTGATTTCACACGAGTCTTGAAATATATATTTCCATTTTTTATACCAATATGTAACAATTACTAGATGAGTTTATTACTTATTGAAAACAGAAAACCGATTCCCGATAGAATCTTAGATTACGCATGCTGTCAAAAAAGTCAACATATTTTAAGACTTTTCTTTTATTAAAGTGATTTCACACACGACTCTTGAAATATAATTTTCCATTTATATTATTTTATTCCATTAATATATAGTAAATTATATGAGGAAACAATAGGAAACCAATCCCTACTTTAAGTACTGTTGAATATTACTTCATGCTTTCCATCAAAAATGTCAATGTAACTTCTCACGACCTTCTCTCGGACAAACAATATGGTTTCCGTTTCGCCAAGTCTACCGCTGATGTATTAACAGCTATTACTGAATATGAATATCAAGCTCTTGATATTAACGGCGATGTTGGGACTGTGGCTCTAGATATCTCGAAAGCGTTTGACAAGGTTTGGCACGCTGCTTCTACGCAAGCTTCAGGGTTACGATATTACCGGACGATTTAATCAAATCGTTTCCATCAAATCGTGAAATAAAGATCCTTTTGAACGAGCTCGCTTCCAGATCCTTTCACACGGACTTAGGTGTCCCCCCTCCCCCAAAGCTCTATCCTGGGTCCTACGCTGTTTCTGATCTTCATCAATGTTCTTCCTGATGTCATCAGTCTCCAAATAGGCATTTATGCAGATGACACTACCATTTACTCCTGTCTCAATAACAAATCTGTCAGAGCTTACAAAGTAAACTTGACTGATACTCATAAAAAGGACCTCCAATCAGTGATTAACTGGTGCAGGAAATGGCTTGTAATTTTTAACGCCTCCTAAACTAAACTTTTAGCCACCATAGAGAAACTTTTCTGTCTGCCATCAGCATGGCTGGTGCTAGACTCCTGTCTACACTGCACCTTCTTGGCCACACGTTTTCAACTGAATTCAAGTGGAATAACTGTATTGAATCGATAGCAGCATCTACTGCAAGGAAATTTGGGTCACTGTGTCATGCCAGAAAATTTTTCTTGTCAGAGTCCATCTTACACATTTACAAATCTACCATTCGTCTGTGCATTGAATACTGCTACCACAGGTCTAGTGCTCCTGCTATTCATCTACAGGTTCTTGACAAAATCTGTAATATAATCGATCCTGACTTGGCATCTCGAAATCAGTCACTTTCTCATCGACCTGGCGTGGTTACCCTCTGTCTTTTCTGGAAATATTTTCATGGAAGCTAATCTAATAAGCTTTTGTTCCCTGGTACCCCGACTACATGAATTCAAGCGTGCTACTAGATTGGCATTTAGGTCCCACACGTTTACTGTTGAAATAGCTAAATGCAACCGCTGTTTCTTCTTCAACGGTTTATTTTCTCTCACTTTACGCCAGTGCAACTCCTTTCTATTTATTGCTTCCCTGATAACTACAATCTTCAAAAACGTTTAAATGCAACGTCAATCACCATCTTCTTGAATTCCGTTCATCTTTTGTCTTTCTTCAATCCGCCCTATACTCAGTTTTTTTCTCTCACTTTGACTCTCTACGTACTAGTGGCATTCCCGCCTTACTTGGGGTGAAATGATTAAAAAAATTTTTTTAAATATATCTTTCCAATTATTGGAAAATAATTGGCGTATTCCACTCTCTCACGAAGTTGTCTTTTCACTTCCTGGTTTTGTAAAGTTCTTGGAATAGTTCGACGTTTTTATAAAAATAATATTTCCACCTGGCATTATCATTGCAATTGTGATTAATCTTAATAAATAGTGTCGTTAGATGTACAATTGCCGACTTGTAAAATCGACTAAAACTTCCAAAGCGTAAAAAGTATACAAATCGAGATGGTTGTGATGTTAGGGCATTAAACGGTGTGAACAATATGGTTGCAAGCTTTTCTTGTCGCCATTGTTTTACAGGCGCGACGTGTATGTTGCGTAGCTATTGTTAGTGAAACAAGAAATATCTCGCTTTTACGATCCAACTTAGAATCTGTCTCCCACACACACAAAGACAAACGTATGTCTTTTTCCCAGTGGATTTTCAAAATATTCCGACTGGAATTACAACCCGAGTTTTTTTTTTTTGTCATTATAATTATTAATCTCTCATCTCACCTTATGGTTGACCCCGGTCAGACATCTTTTTTTTGTTTGCTTGTTTTTTGTTTTTTTGTTTTTTTTGTTTTTTCTTGATAATAAAATCAGGGGTTGCAACTCCTCTTGAAATGGTTCTCAGCTTGCAAGAGAAAGAAGATGATGACTGACATTGCATTTACGTTTTAGAATATTATTGTTTTTTTGTTTTAATCATCTTGCCCCAAGTAAGGCAATAAAGCCACAAAGACGTAAGGGGGCTACTGAATGTTAAACAATATGAGAAAAACTACTATTAAGGAGAGAGAGAGAGAGCATTAAAACAAAAGAAATCGAAGAGACGGAAGATAACGATTGGCATTGCATTTAAATATTTGAAGATAAAAGTTGACTGAAAAGCAAGAACCCGGAAGAGCTACCACAAACGGGAAGTGCGAAAGAAGAAACTGTTAACATAGGACTTACGGTTATATCTGTCTATTTCAACTGTAAAATGATGAGACCTTGCCGCCAATCTAGTACTGCACTTAAATTCATAAATTTTAGGTATCAAAGATTAAGGTTTAGAACAATTATCATGGAAATATTTATAGAAAAGCTCCAGGGAATCTAAGTTACTATAAATGCTATAGTTGATAGCAAAGCGGGCAGCCGGAAAAGAGTTCCACAAGGGATATGTGTGAGAGAAGAATCTATTAGCATAGAACTTACGGTTAGTTCTAGCGATCTCAGCTGTGGGATTATGAGACCTAGTTGCTAATCTAGTACTGCGCTTAAATTCATGAATTTGAGGTAACTGCGGTGTCATTTTCTAAGCATTACGCCCCGAGCAAGGCATGAAGCCACTAGGATGCAGGGAGTTGCAGAAGATAGGAGTGATAGAAGAAAGGATGAGGAGAGGGATAGTGGGTAGATCAAGGTAACAGGAGATGTCGATTGACATTACATTTGAATAGTTGGAGATTATAGCTCTCAGGGAAACAGAAATAGGGAAGAGTGTTCCACAGGGGAGAGGTGCGAGATATGAAGCTATTGGAGTAGAAGAGACGGCTACATTTAAAAATTTCTACAGTGAAAGGGTGAGAGCGGAATGCCAACCTCGTAGGGCGCTTGGATTTATGAAGTCTGGGAACCAGTGAAAGCAGCTCATCGGAGCAATTACCATGAAAGTATTTGTAGAAAAGACAGAGAGAGGCGACGGCGCGTCTGTGAGAGAGTGACTGTAGACGAGATGCCAGATCAGGGCCAATTATATTACATATCCGTCTCTGGATCTTGTCAAGAATAGAATAAGAAATGGTGGTGTAATGGAATGAGAAAATCAAAGATCCGTGTTTGAATTCTAGTCTTTTGCATGACTCCATCACTTCCCCACAAGCTATGGATTAAATAGTAGGACAACCTGGGCCCTATTTCTTTGGTCGGCAACCAGTTGTTACATTCACTTCCTTGCAAATAACCTCGTGAAATCTGTTCTTTTCTCAGCTACGGGTAAATAGCAGAACAGACTGGGTCCTATAGCTTTGGTTGGCAACCAGACTCTGAAAAGAAAAACTCTGAATTCAAATCAGCCTGGAGAAGGTTGTAATCTATCTGGCTAAATTGCCCTACAAAACATTGCTGCTATGGCTGCTGTACGTGTTGTGCCCCTTCGACCCTAATGAGTTACACGATTCGTGATTGCGATATGACATAAAAAGATATATAATGAAATGCATCTTGCTAATATCCCTAAAGCATAAAATGCATAATTAATTTATAATGTCAGTGGGTGCAGATGCGAAATTATGGAATTAGCTAAATCAACTGAAAGCGAAATTTTTCAAAAGATTTAATATAAAATGCCATAATAGAGCAACTTTTGTTGATCTCAGTCGAAGAGTTTGTCTTTCTGTCGCTAATAAGATCAAGAGGTCTAACTTCTCCTGAAATCATATGATTACCAGATTTGTTAGGGCAAAGGCAATAATGGTGTAATGGATAGCGGCTCGGATTGAGAAATCGGAGAGCAAAGTTCGAATTCCAGTCGAATCCATTACATTCACTTACGTGCTAATACCCTTGGGACAGGTGGGAATCCTTTTCTTCTCCCTCCAGCTATGGGTAAATAGTAGGACAGACTTGAATGGCAAATGGTC